AACATGAAGTGCAGGGATCTACTTGGAGACTTCTTGTGGTGGCTCATGAATGTCCTTGAGGGTACACGTAGCTTGCATGTAGGCGTATACTGTGTCCGCGGACGACATAGAGTCCAGCGGTTGCGTGGATCATGTCGTGTATGGTCCAAGGGCTCGGCTGCCGCAGTGTGTATACGGAGTACCTATAGCGGCAGGCTGGTTACTGGTCTCGACTAGGCACAACTTGCTCAAGCTGTGCTTGGACCCGTAACGCAAATGCTAGGCTTGCAGAACAAGTAGAAGAAGACACACGAGACTTGGTTAAGTCTCTCCGGCAGAAGATGCGTCTCACATGACACCGGCCCGTCGCAGGATGTGTATAAACACCCGACCACTGCAGACAGCTGGAGAGAGAGAGAGAGAGAGAGAGAGAGAGAGAGACTAGTAATTGTACGTGTCAAGATGTTAGACCCACAACTCAGGCGAGCCAAGTGGTCGAGTCTTGGAATCGCTGGAGGGCCCATAAAATCAATACTTTGATGGAATATCCATATGTTTAGTAGTTATCGGATGTACAGGGTTTTATTTCAGTTAGCAGACAGACATAAAGGTAATATTTTTATGTTGTATCCGTACTTATATGCTGTATCCGTGGTTACAAGGAGCACACACCGAAGCAATACTTTGCATGATTATTTTGATTTTAGTATCTTGGATGTCATCTATGGCAGCTGCCATATCAGTGCTTTCATATAGTACCCATACTTCGTAATAACCATCGCATAGACAAGGGCACAGACATTGTAAGCATTGCTACTCCCACCCGTGCTGTACATCAAAAGCAAATAAGGGTTCTGCGGGTTTTGAGGGAGAGGTTGCATATATCTTCTTCTTCAACCGCCGCAGAGAGTCCCGCGTTGCGTAATCGGCAGCTACGCTGGCATCTGAGAAGATGCATGCCGGTGTTACGGCACCCGAGCTCAGGAGATCGCTTAAAGCTGAAAACATGTGTATGTTCCCACACAGGTGGCCATGGACCCTGCTGTTGAAGCAAGTATGGGTAAGAAGATACCAGTGAAATAAAGCGATAAGGTAGCATGATAGACTAGGTACAAGCGTGCAGGATGTAGTTCGACTCGGTCCGTTTGGCATGCTCACCCGGCGTGACCGCCCCTTTATGCGATGAGCAACCTGGTAGAACTCCTCACTGCAAAAGCTGTTCCATTGGAAATTGCAGCAAGATTAAAAGCCCTGTTTCAGGGTGGCTGAAGATCAAACGTCTGCAGCCTCATGCATCCGGCACTTGCTCTGCCCTACACAACATGATGAGATACACATTGGTTTGAACCTCATGAAGGTCTGATGCAGTCGCCTTGGTAGGGCATGAGCCATCGTCCGCGACATGCGTCAGAGCACCGTTGCAGAAAAACGCGGCTCGGTAGTGCCCGTGGGACTTGTGATGGCCAAGGTGGTACACTGCTGCGATCAGACAGTATCTGTGCGATGAGGTTTTGGTGGTGGCATCCACGAAGTAGGGTATATAAACTGCGGGACTAAGTTGTAAGGCGAAGTGAACCTTATTGCCTACATCATCAAACCGGCCCACTTGCACTGGGAGCAGTGTCGGGAGCGTCACAGCTGCGTGTCTGGACGCCTGATTCCTCCACGCCACGATGAGTTGCTGGAGACTACTGGGCATGTGACTGGCTGCTAATGAAGGATGGCGCATGCTCTGACTGTCCTGGGGAAGTGGCAGCGGAAACATCTGTCCGTGATCCGTGACCTGGGCTATGGCACTCGTGCTGCACATAAGCCTGGCTTGCCATGCGTCTGTTGACCCGCCTGAGGCTATGACCCCTCCTAAAAACTGAAGAAATTCGCCCGCATCATGCTGCCTGGCCGGGTTGGCCCAATGGCAGGTCAATGCACACCACGAGCGCAATTGCCACAAATTCACTTGCTGAGGCTTTCTGCACATCCAACTTAAGGTCCTAAGCATTTGAAGGTTGCTCACAAGTAGTCCTGTCTGAACGTTGGCCGCTACCCATAGTAGGCTGTGCACCGTGGCATTCGCATAACATCTGTTATCAGGATTGGAAAACGACAGGCTGAGTATCTGGCCTGGGCTGGCACTCAAAGATCTTGCAGCATCTTGTCCAAGGCGACTGCAGCCGGTGACCGGCCCAGTTTCGCCGGCCTCATTGTAGCTCCCACCAGGTGAAGGCTGGAGTTCCTCGACAATCTCTGGCAGCACTGATAGAGCTGCTGCGCCTCCTGGTTTCGGTTCTGAATAACCAAAGCAAAGGGCAGCACTTCGGAGCTCAACCCGGCCGTCATCTTGCGAACTGGGTGGAAGTTGCCCACCGTATTCGGGAACACGATGAGCCGCAACATCAGCTGGAGGCACTGCTGGAGCGTCTGGTGTTCGAGCGGCTGTTGAGGTGCTGGCAGGTGGCGGCGTTCCTGATGATCCCAACGTAGATAGCAATAGCTTTCGTCCTGCATCAGGCCGCGATCCTTGGCCTGCTGTAACAGCTGGGAGTTCGTCTCGATCGCCGTCACCTGGCTCTGCAGCGCCGTCAGGAAGGCGTGCAGGAGTACGCAGCGTAGGGGCTGCGTGATCTCCTCCGGGGAAGTTTCCCGTAGCCGGTTCCACTCTGTTGCCACGGTCCACAACCGCTTGGTCACGCTCCATTCGTTTCCGCTGGCCTCCGTCTGAAGGAACAGGAAAAATTCCTTGTCCAACATGTCCACGGCTGCGCGATCCTCGATCCGCAGGGTAAGCCTGCCCATGGCTCTGATGATGTTCTTGAGCTCCTTGATTTCCTTTCGGAGGGCCGCTTCCTTCTCGTTGTCCTCGTTGCGCTGGTAGCCGCCCTTTCTGTCTGAGCGGTTGGGCCACTGGTACGGCTGGCGTCCCCAGTTCCAGCCTCCCCGTTGCTGGTCCTTGGAGCTCTGGCTCGGCGCCTCCTGCTGGCGTCGACGCTCCTGTCTGGTCGGCCATTGGCGCTCCTGCGAGCGTCCTTTGCCTCTGGGTCCCGGGGGCTCGGTCTTGTTCTCCTCCGCCGGCTTCGGGTGGGTGTCCGTCTCGGCCTCCGCTGTCTCGGCTGCTTCGGCTGCCTCGGCTGTGTTCTGGTTGAGGTTGCCCTCGCCCTTGTTGTCGCCTTTGCCCTCGGCTTTGAGGAACTTTTGCGGAGTTCCCAGCAGCGGCGTCTCCAGCCCGCGCGTCGGGGCTTCGGCTCGGCTCGGGGAGTTGCGCTTGGGCCTTTCGTCCAGCTCCATGTCCAGGAGATTTGCCGTCTCCCCTGCCCTCGTCGATGGCGCCGTCGAGGTTGGAGTGGCCACCGGGGAGGGCTGCATGTAAGCTGAGAACCGTGCCAGCTCCGCTGCCGCCTCCTGAAGCTGCTCGTCTGGCAGTGCCGAAGACATCCTGTATGCTAGGCTGGGACTGGTCTTGCAAGTCAGAATGTCTAGCTAGAAGGTGGCCACATGTCCACAAGACTGCACACGCTTTAGCATGGTTAGCAGGCCTGGTGGCGTAAGGCAGTAAACACCAGCGGCACGGCTGTCCGATTTGAGTGCGAGCTGTGAGCCATTGTTCCACAGCAGGCTGCAACGCTTTGACGGCGTCATGCATTTTGCAGGCATGTCTAGTTAGGTATTTGGGATGCGTCAGTTTTTGATTGCACTCCGGACAGTACTGCAAACGCCCTATGTTCTGTACCGCTCTGGCAAGACCTTGGAGGTCTCGTTGTTTGGCCAGCATCTGCAATGCAGGTCGATGAAAAGTAGGTGGCATGTCGAAGTCTACCAAGTCTGCTGCAACCTCTCCCGGTGCGGACACCCCTTGAGCAGAGGGTTGGGAGATTGGTAGAGCTTGGCTGGCCTGGGCTAACTCTGAAACGATGGTTGCTGAGTTCTGACACTGATGTTGGATTGCTTGGAGCCCGGGGGGGCTGGCTGCTGTAGTATGTGTACGGTGATGCTGTCCGTGTAGGACCGGGCAAGCCTGTTGGCTAAAATGACCCATGAACGCAGGCCAGCCATGAAAAGATTTGCGGCAGTGCTTGCAAGTCGGCAGGCCATCCAGGGAATGAACCCGGAAACTGTCATTGCGCTTATTTTTAACTGTGGGGTTTCTTTCCCGTTTTTGGGGCTGTGCCTCCGGGTGCTGCTTCCCCAAATGGACTCTCAGCGCATGCAAGCTGGGAAACTGCTGACCACAAATCTGGCATGAACATCGAATTCGCAGGACCTGCGTCACCTCTGTGACAGTGGCTGGCGCGTCTGCGGACGGATGGCCTTGTGCCAGCTGCGTAAAAGTGGAGGACAAAATGTCCCACCATTGGTGAACCCTGGCTGGCTGCAAGTGGTGCACAAACTGTCGACAGGTTGCAATGCGGTTGTGGCACATTCTCTGCACGTGTTGAACCGGGTCGTGTAGGCCTAGTCTGTGCAGTAGAGAATCATTGGTTTCATGCGTAAGGTGTCCTAGACTTCTTGTCGTAATTCTTAGCTGTCGCATGACTGCACCTCTGAGTTTTGTTGCCGACGAAGGGTCTAGACCTGTCGCAGTTAAGCCATAGCTCATTATGGTGAAGACACAGGATTGCCACAATTGCACTCGCTTTTTCAAGGGTAGTTTTTCATTTGTGAGGAATTTCCGCAGTCTATGAAAAGCTTGCCAAGATAGCTGCTGTCTGTGCTGAAGAGTGTACCGCTCAAAGGATTTGTAGCTGATGATCACCCCCAGATATGTGTGTTGCTGTTTCAGCGGTAGCTGGACTGGGTGTGTAGGGTGTGCTATCTTCAGGAACCGGCCTTTCGGGGTTCTTTCCGTGTAGGTCTTCATCAGCTTGGGGGCGTCGGCTCCAGCTAGTGCGAGCAGGGCGACTGTCTTGTCCGCAGAGACATTCATACCCAGCGAGTTCAAGTCTTGTATGACACGTGGAATGTGAGAACACGCGTTGTGCATGTCACAGGCAGAGTGGATACTCCACTGGATGTGAAAGTCATCTGCAAAGCCAGACACCGCATTGGCTGGCAGGTACGACACCTTGTCAAAGAAAAGAACAGTGAAGGCTAGCCACAATTGAGGTGACAGGCCGCATCCCTGCCGCACCCCTCTGCCAAGCCGAACACTGTCGCGAAGGTCGTATCGTTTGAGGACGATTAGAGCATGGTCGTGGATATACATTATGAGCGTTAGTAAATCTTCAGGTACAGACAACCTTTGGAGTGCAGCTAACAATAGGTGCCTGGGTAGGTAGTCGTATGCTTTAGAGAGGTCTAGGGAGACCTGGAGCCCTCCAGCTAGTTTGGAACCTACGACACCTTTTATAGTTTTATGCACACTCCTGCGGTTCTGGCTAACGGCAGCACGAATGGATGCACAGTGCGAAAGCACTCTGTCGATCGCGTCGGCCGTCTGCCGGTGCGGGCTGTATGCGAACTGCGGCAATGTGTCTAAGACTTGTTGAGTCCAGGGCCTTAGCCTATCCGCCGCGATCTTGGCGAGGAGTTTGGCTTCTACTGTTAGTAAACTGATTGGGCGCAAATTGGCTGGGCAATTCGGGGGTTTGCTGGGTTTCGGAATGAGTACTAAATGCGATTCGTGCCAGCGCTCCGGAAACTCCAAGGGTCCTGATTCTAGGTAGGAATTTAGGGAGTCGGTTAAGGGTTGCGTGATTTCAGCACTGGCCGTCTTCCACAGAATGGCGGGCGTGTCTCCGTCCGGAAGGGCCTTTTGGCTCTGCAAGGCATGCAGTGCTGTCTGAACTTCGGTTGTAGTGATGTTGAAGTGTTGATGTAGGGACCATGTTGGCGTGATTTCGTGGTCCATCCTGGCGGACTGATAGATCTCTGTAAAGTACTGTGTGAGGGTATGAAGTTCTTGTGCTGGTGACATCAGCATCCCGTCTCGTGATCTAAAGTGGATAGAACGTTTTGAGGATTTGGGGGCCTGTTGTTTGATGAGCTGATACACTGCCGGCAATCCTTGTGTGGCTGCTTGTTCTGCTTGCTCGACCAGGGCATCGAATTGGCGGCTTTTGCGCTCGCGGACTTGCTTGCGCAATTGCTTGTCTGTGGCGTGGAAGGCTATGGAAGCCTTCCATGCTTGCAGCATTGGTTTCAAGGCTCGTGTGCTGCCTGGAAAGGATCGAAGGAGGCTTGCTGTGCTGCAGTGGGCTACATGGTATATGACAGGTGCATGGTATGTGTCGACAGCTTCGAGGGAATGTCTGAGGTGTTGCTTAGCTTGCCAGTATTCTTTAAGGCTGGGGCCGGGTCTAACGGGATCCGCGGGGCGGGGTGTGCTTGACGAGGTCACGCTAGTCCAGGCAGCCTGCAGACAGTGATTCAAGCAGTCGTGGTGCGGCAGCTGCCTTTGGACAGCATCCCGGAAGCGAATGGCCAGGCCAGGGTCCCGGGCAAGTTCTTGTTGAATCTGCCGCGGTTGCAGTTTTTGCTGTGCTCGGCGATGCTTGGGGACTACAGGCCGTCTTAGGAACCCTAAAACTGGAATGTGCCTGAAGCCTGTGGGGTGTATGACCGGCGCTTCCGGAACCGTAGCAGCCGTGAGCAGGTCCGGCTCACAGGGCAGGCGACTGAGCATGTAGTCAATTTGCACCTTCGATCCAGAATGCATGATAAAGGTGCCTGCCTTGTTGCCGTGCCTGCCCCAGGTGTTAAGGGCATTGAGCCCCAGTGACACGACCAAGTTCTGGAAATCGGATTGGTCGGGATGCGATTGCGTGTGTGGCATCGTGCCAGGGCCTACATGGGATTTTTGCTCAGTTAGGGCTGCATTGAAGTCCCCTAGAACCATCAGGCTATTGCGTCGGGGTATCGATCTTGTCCAGGACCCAATCGCATCCCGAATTTGGGCACGGCTTTGCAAGAGCTCCTGCGTGCGCTGGTCCAAGCTGAGGTTATTCGGGTTGGATTGTAGGTTCCATGCATGTTGATACACCCCTAAGAGGTCTATGGCGGGGTCCGCCTCTACTCTTAAGTGCACTAGTCGACCGGGGATGATGTGAGCAAATCTTAAGCTAGCTTGCAGGGCGAAGCTGCGATGAATCATGAATAGAACTCCTGCATGAGAGTTGCCGGAACCCGAGTGGATGCAGTGCCACTCAGAGCTGGTGAATTCGGAGCAATCACGCCAGCGCGTCTCTTGTAGGCAGACTACGTCTACTGGAGTGTGCTGTCGTAGCTGACGCAGCCATTCTAGTATTTCACTATACCGCAAGGCATTTAAGCCACCACAGTTCCACGTCAGAACTCGAATGTAACCTGAAATGGGGTCCTGTGCTGGCTTTGCTTGAGAGTCTTTTCGGCGGGTAAGTGTCCTACTGTAGGGCTGAGTTAATGACAGGCTAGCAGGGGTGTGGATCCTGCCCCGATAGGACGTCTGCCCATCTCGCAGCGCGCGGGCCTGCGCTCTTTTGAAAGAGCGTTTTTGACACTGGGTGAGGCGCTGAGCGCTGGCACCATGTGCTTGCAGGATTCCCGCTGTCCTACTCTCCGGGCGGCCTACTAAAGTGGGGGTGTACTCCCTTAGTGGTATGCCATGACCGGAAGCGGCGGGCTGTGTACAAGCCAGGATTAACAGTTTAGTGAGTGTGTTGCCTCTAGGTCTACCTGCAGACGACTGAGGGGAGTCATGGTCGCTGGCTTGGTAGTCAAAGCCGACTGTTTGCCTGGGTACTGCTTGTGACAAGCAACCAGGCTGGGTACAAGAAGGCTGTGGATCGCTCTGGGCGCCTATCGTCCTGCAGCACACTGGTGCCTGTCGTGCAACGCATCTGAGTCCCGGTGGGACGCCAGGGCGGCGCCGAAAGACTCCTGTGAGGATGCGTGTTGGGTATCGTTTGTTCGGGAGGGCTGACTGCCACAGTAGCAGTCGTGCAAGTGCATATCTGCTCCACCAGAGGCTGAGCAGGAAAACAGCTGTTTGAAACATGTGACACTGTGGCCCGGTCCTGCATTGGTCCCGAATCGATATCTGTTGATTGGGAGCCATTCTAGCGGGAGCATCTGGCGGAGCTGGTGTCAGGGCTTTTGGGAGTGCTTGGGAAACTAGTTGGGGGCTCTCTCCCCGAGCTAACTGGATGCCTTTAGTTTGACTATGCATGCAGTTAAGAAAAGGGCCATGAAGCTTCGCCTTGTTGATGAGAACAACGGCTACTAATGGTGGGGCTTCAGGAGGGGCTTGGCCATACCTTCCTCCAACCCTCGCGTCTACCCATGCACTAAGGTATGCTCTGCTGTCTCGGAACATGTTACTGCAAGTACAAATCGGCATCCTCGTGCATGAGTCCCTGGACTTGGGACCAGGGCAGCCCGGCCTCGTGGAGTGAGCTCCGGGGCGTGCTTGATCAGTCGTTCCTGCCTCGTGGTCGTTGTGGAGCGGGCTCATGCGAGCTGGCTGCCGGATCATGTTGCTCCGCGGCCACGTTGACGCCTTCTTCTGCAGAGTCATCCCGCAGATCTTCTGGCTGTGCCCCAAGCCGGTATCGCCAGAACCATGTCTGGAGGCTCCTTTGTCCATCTTCCCCCAGTAGGGGCCAGGTGGTGAGCAGGAGCTCTTGGTACCACGCGTTTGCAAGAATGTCCAGCATGGACATAGCCAGACTGGCGGCTGCTTTGTAGTGGAGCACTTGACCAAAATGCCTGGCAAGAAGCGTCTGCAACCGCTGGACCAGGAGCGACTTCGGCGGCTGGCCTTCTCCGTCACATCCAAGAATCCATCCCATGTCATTCGGCAGGATGGGGGCGTCCAATAGATGTTGCAGCCGTTGAAGGTCGTCCGTAAAGCATGTTGCTGCCGGTTCCAGTAACTGTGGTCGCAGTAGCTCTTCCAGTTGTGATGGTTGCAGTCCGCTGGCGCGTCGCCGGAAGGCACTGATCTTTTGCACGTGGCTTCTGTAGCTGCTGTCTCGCGCACACAGTTGCGCCTCCAGATATGCGATGCAGATTCAATTCTTCCCCCGTTGTTGAGGGCTGGTGAAGAGCGCGGAAGGCTTGTAGGGGCCAAAAGGCTCAGCATTTGAGCTGTTGGGAGCCGCATCGGCACCGCCAGCATCAGAACCACTGCCCAGATTGTCCGCCCTCGATGACAAAGAGCCTGCCGAGGCTTCCGCAGACATCGAAGGTTCCTCTGATGACTCCTCATAGGACATGTCATCGCTGGAGGAAGGCGGCGATCGAGGCATTCCATATGCACCCGGCGCTAGCTGAAGCTATTCGGGGAGGGCCGAGACGCTTGTTGCATATATATATATATACATACATACATACACACACGCACGCGTGCACACACTTGACACCGTGACAATGGTATCAATGTACCAGTACGTCGATTGCGGTAAGCAGCAGAATCAAACCCAATGGCGTCTCTGCAAGCTTTCGACACCATCATTGAGTCCTGAATCAATATGTGGCTACCTCCGGGACCAGGCAAACGGACAACGGACAGGCAACAATTTCTTGAACAAATAATAGCCAGACAGGTCACACAATACTTTGTGACGGCGAAGGCCACAAAACATTGCCGAAAACTGTGGCGACAATATGGCAATGAACCTGTTAGACTCGGAGAAGGCATTTGTTAAAGTACACCTCACACACACACACACACTGGAAAGGTGCAGAGATCCAAGTTCCACAGCACTTTTAAGCCGTGGCAAGCAATAGCTACGACCAGCCATGTCTTATGTCAGTGCACAAGAAGGTGAATCTTAATATGTTGCACAGCATTTACTTTGCAGAGGGGGCACCAATCAGTTCACACAACATTCACCGGAGACTCACCTCCCCAATGCAAGCAGCCATTTCCACGAACTGCGATAGCCGAGGAAGAATCACAACCAACAGACACACATTGACCGTAAACTACCAAGATGTGTAGATGAGACAAATGTCGTTGGCAATGAGGCAGAAATACAAAATCGGATTGCGACCGCCAGCAACACGTCTAGGTATTTGAAAACCAGTTGGACCAAGCAAACATCAGTCCGGAATAAAAGTTGCAAATTTTCAATGCAACCGTGAAATCATATATCGCATGGGCTTGAATCTATACTGCTCCTAACTCTCAAGTACCCGCTTCTCACATAGATCGATCCCGAACTATGATATGGTGATGCGCGAAGACAGTGTATTGGAAATTGGTGTTCCAATGCTGTCCGATTGAATGTTGGCAATCTCATCTTACAAAGCTTTGCACGAACTCAGCAGCACCCAACACAATCACCAACCGAAAAGGAACACGCACTAATTACTAATGTGATAACAGCCATGCAACATGTGACACTGTGTCGAATGGGACCGCGGTCCTGGAGAGTAAATACACGCCGTATCAAGAAATGTCCATGTTTGTTTAGACTGTGCTGCGCTCCCGTCTTCGATCTTCCTCGGATTGTCTCCGGCTGATTGGGCAAGTGTTAATGTATGAAGCTATGATGCGACTGATGGCAACATGCTGCACTGTCCTGCGAGGGCCAGGGGCAGTGCGGCAGGTCACTTTCTTTCCGGACTTCGCCCGGTTTGGGATGCGCAATCTCGAGGAGGAGCAGCAATGCAAACGTGCCATCAAACCCTGTGTCTCCCTTGCATCAATATGCATCTGCAGGTTCTAATTTCTACAGTGCGAAAGTCCATCCGGCAGGACATTGTTGCACTGATGAGACGTCGTGCCACAATCTCAGAGTTGCTTGCTGCTACACTCCAGCGACTGCGAGGCACATCCCTGCGCCTGAAAGCGAGGCTTTCGACCTCGCTGCTTCCACACAGGGACGGTGTCAAGTCTTCTTGGACGGAGATTGTCTGGGCGTCACCAGCTTCCAGGCGGATATGGCGGATTGATATACTTTGCTGCATTCCTGCTGCTGCAAGTCTGGCCCCCTACAAGCCATCCACACTTCGAGCATCGGAGCATCTTGATAGGACTACGTGGATCTTCATGTGAAGCCCGAGATGTTCCGCACGTGCAAGGTGCGTATGTGCGACCACCCGATGGACGGGGATTCACATAGTGTGTGATGAGTCCCACGAAACAAAGGTGGTGAATGATCGCTGGGAAATCGCGATTGGCCTGACAGATGGCTCTGGCTTTCAGCAGGTTTGGACGTAGCAAGCATTGCACAACGCCTTGGTGCTCAGCTATAGAAGTCCCATCCTGCTTTGGCTTATGGAGGTGAGCTTCGTGAATTCCATCAACACCTCTCGTGGTGGCACTCATGTGACCTACATTGCTGACCAGGTCAGCCTGTACAAAGGGATGGTCGAAGAGAAGTGTGATTGGGGAGGGCTTTCAGGAGACACGGTATCAGTAACAACAGAGAACGCTGGATTTCTTTGGGGAGCATTTCGGGCTCTTATCTGCCAAGGAACATCGTCTAACGAGTTATACGAGCTACACCTGGCACACCTCTTGAATTGTGTGTGGGTCCTTTGCGGTGCCGTACACTTTTCGAAATGTGCGGATCGACACTCCTCCTCACACGAGCCTGACTGAAATAAGTGGGCCTTCCGATACTCGCCCGATCAATAAACGCACACCCTAAGCATCCTGCCTAGGTACTCGACCGCATCACACTATCAAAACAGCGCATCGGATCCAGCCTGTGGACTCTTGTCCCGGATGCCCCGTATCCGGTTTCTGCCCTCTGCGGCATGTTTCTTTTTCGAGGCAAAACAAGTTTAATTGGTCCCCATGGACACGCCCGCCTACTGCGATCTCACTTGAATGCTAGATGATGCGGTCTCAAAGGAAAAGTCGTTACTGAGCCATGCTGGCTATTCCTTCGGCGCAACTCAGAGCATACTCAGGTGCACACCACATGTTTAGGATTTCCAACGCCATACATGCAGCGAAAGTTGGTAAGTAGTACAAAACGTGTCACATCGGAGCTTTCAGGTGGTTCTGATCATCACTCACACGTCGTGGTGCTTATCACCCCCAGCATTGGTCGACACTGTTCAAGCTTCACTCGTGGCAATGACTTTGTCTAGAGGTCAGCAGCTAGCTGGGAGCCAGCTTTATGACTTCAGTGTTATACCAACGCCAAGGGCGGACGACGAGCCACCATCGTTGACAGGACGCTGCATTTGGAAGCGATGTCTGGTCTAGTTTTCGTTCTCAACATTTCTCAACCACATCAGAGCACCCAAGTCCCGCTGAGCCTTCTCATAATATATCTTTTCTCGTCACCCGGCCCCGCAACCCGAAACCCGAGACCCGAACCCGGGACCCGGACCTTGCAATTCTGGACCTCCAGAAATCATGCCTTGAAGTTTTCCTTTCCTTGTGTTCAAGATATGCTTGCCAACATTCAAGTTGACTTCTCCAGGCGCTACCACACCATCTACAATCACGCAAATGATACCAACCAGCTCGGCAGTTGCTTGCACCTTCACGAGCAGGACATCTCCAATGCCTTCCATGGCTTCCAGCATCAAGGTTGGATACCAACGTGGCTCCACGCAGCGTTGAATCTCTCAGATTCTCCCACTGTGTCGGGGATGTCCTGAGACCATAAATGGCCCGTTTGGCCCCAAGCACCACTCCCTCCGGGACCAGCTTAAGCTTGATGAACGTGCTGGAGGCCTCATCAGTACCAGTTCTCCTGGTGGGAGCAATGCGTTAAGGAAGGTTGCGCAGGTGTCCAGTGACAAAGCTGTCCATCCCGGATTCATAGCCAACATAATGTCCATGTGTGCGAAATGGCGCTGCTCCTGGCTGATCGCATAAGGGACTGAGACGAAGCATACATACGCAGCACACCGCAATTTGCCTACATCAACCACAGAGGCACGGAAGATGCCGTTGGACGGGTCCGTAGCCATCTCCATGCAGCCCGATCGGCAGCAGCCCTGGCATTGCCGACCACACACCAACGTAAAGCAGGTGCCACTCCCTGCACAGTCTCAGCAGCAGTGGCATTTTTCATCTCCGGGTGAACCTCCTAACGCACAGAGCGTGGCCTTTGGCTTGAAGCGAAGCTTCTCCTGCTGCGCAGTGCCGGACTGCGCGTTCTCAATGCACTCTGGATTGTCACTCTGCATCTTTAAAGGTGTGCGCGAACAGACAAGAGTCATCTGCAGGACCTCGTGGGAGTTTATGGCTCAATGGAAGGCCTAGATCTTCATGAAGGTGACCTACCCTCACTTCGTCCCACGGCTCATTTGAAACCATGTTGCCAACTTCCGTCCCCGCTCCATTAATCCATGGCTGTCTCTCCTCTGTCATTCCTCCTCGCCCGCCTTGTCGCAAGTTCAGGGTTCACGATACACAACAGCTCTGGCTTCAAGTATGCTTTAAAGTGCTCTCTGATGATGAGCGAAACTGCGTTCCCGTCATAACATGGCTTGATTTCTCCAGTGGCCTCCTCGATTGTGATCATGTCTGAGGGTGGTGCGTCCCACTTCATATCTCCCGTCATACTCACCCAAACAGATCTTGGGGGCGTCGCTCAGTGGCTTTCTGACAAAGACTACATCGCGCATACGCAGGGGATCCTCGGAATCAAGAGCTTCAGCTTCTTGCATCGCCTCAAGAAAGTGGCTTCAAGCACCGCTTCACTCCAGAACTGCAGACTGAGCGTGTAGGAGAGACCCTGCCGCCGATCTCAGCAATCCTACCATCCTCTCTGCCCTACCGTTCTGTTGTGGCGTGTATGCCACTCTCATCGTGGGCCAAGCGCAACACTGCTCCACAGCTTTCTCAAATGCCCCTTCCTTCCAACTCCTTCCCAGCATCATTCTGGATACGGAAAACGGGAGAAACACCCTGGGCAAGCGATGCAATCTGGCACATCACAGAAATCAAAGCCTTTGCTACCTCCTCAGTCTGTTTGGTGACCTCGCGTCACCGTCTTTCCTGCTCAGGTTTGCAACCATGAAGTAGCGATGTCAGGCGGATGGGAACCTGACAGGTCCGTGTACAAAGTGCCCTCACCAACTGCTTCCGGTGTCAATCGTCTGTACTTACGCTGATGGCCATGAGCCTTAACGCAGCTGGGGCAGTGACAATCATGCAGCCCTTGAGTGCATTCTGGTCTGCGCCATGCCATTGTCTGGGATTGAACGTTTGCGCCTTCTGACACACCAAGTATAGACAGTATAGCACTCCAGTCCTAACGACATACGGGATATTCGACTTTTGACGGTCCCACGTGTGTCCTGGACCCAGAGTCGTCCGCCTGTAAAGCTTGAGATGCCCATGATGCCAGCTGCTGAACCAACCGCGTTATTGAAATCCTTGTGGGGCTTCAAAGCTGCATCGATTGCAATTGACAACGACGTGAATGTCAACAATGGAAGTTCTTGCTTCACAAACTTGACGACAAGGATCGGACGTTCACGCGTCCAGGAGGTTACTCCATGCCTTCATAACTGTACACCCCAACAACCCACGTTTGAATCCGGTGTGACCCTGATTCTGTCGGTTCGGCCAACTTTGATTGCCTCTTGGTTCTGTGGCGTTGGAGCTGTGCTTCCTGAATGAGCTGCCACACTGCATCAACACTGCTACAGCTCAACAACTCCTTAGCCCTGCTTCCGACTGCCAAATGGCTCTCATCCTCTCTTGACTCTCATCGACTGTCGTGCACTTCAGCTCTTCAATACATGTTTGGCAGCTCTTCCATTCAAGAGGTGTCTCAACTGCTGCATGTGCTGATGCTGATCGGTGTCGGTAGTGGTTTGTGAGCACAGTCCGAACTGGCTTGAGGTAAAAATAAATGAGTTGCAAACCTTTCTGAATCTTGCACTCAACAGGGTGCTCATGTCCATCCCCTCAATGTACATGACCCTTGCACCCTCACGAGTCCATGTGAAGGATCCACCTGCTTCCACAATGCTCAAGAACCAGTCACGGCTATCTTCACTGGCAATCTTTATTGGACTTGATGCACAGCTCCCGTCGCTCGTCCGGCAGGCCGCTACTCGATCCCCGCTCGCAGTCACAACAGCGGTGTGAGCACATTTTTTATCCGTGATGTCAGCGTGCCAGGGGCGAATCGTTTCATTTGCACACGAATCGCTAAACACCGAAGGCTGTTGATTCATCACTGCATTCCCAACTGGACACTCCACGCACTCAAGTCTCCAAGCACCGATGATGCAGATGCCTTGCCTTGGGATGCTCGGGTCCCTGCGCATGCCTTGGGAAAGACCGTGACCCTTGCCTTTGGAAGTGCCGCGGCTACTGTACAACATGCTGTGGCTTTGGCTTCAGCTTCTACAGTCTGATCTACGGAAGTAAGCTCACGTGCAAATGAAGCATCAACAGAGCTTTCAGAAGAGATTCCAGCTTCAGCTTGCATGTATGCTTCTGCCACTGATCGCTTGAACATCGTGTGCCCGCAGATCATAAGCTGTTGCCTTAGCCTGTGGTGTAACAGGACATCCAATTTCGGAAAACTCAGACCAAGCTCTAGTGACTCTGGTGGTGGACTCCTCACTGTAGGAGCCTTGGCACTAGGGGCCCCCGTGGCTCCTGGAGGAGCCAGACCACAAACCCATTCCGGACAATGCCATCCTCAGACAGAGCCGCAGTCATCTGACATTTTAGCGTAACCACATCATCAACCTGGCGAACCACACTTCGATCATCATCATCATCATCAAGTTCATCATGCTCTATGGTCCACCACACCGGCCACGCAATCGAATTTGGATATTTCTCCAGCTGAAACGTTGCGGTAGCATGTGATTGCACAACAAGGTCTTGACCACATGATGGAATCCTCAAGCGTGAGATCTAACACATTCTAAGACCCATTCAGTTATTTCAGTTCGCGTAGGGATCTCTCTGAAGCAAGTGATTCTGGATCGCCGTGGCCGTCATCTACACTCTGGTCCAAACTTTGCGCCATGTAAACCCGGGCAGCGACTGAGGATGACGATGTGCAGCTGCAGCCAGCGATGAGATTTCTTCAATCGCTGTTGCTGCTGGGTTTGTTGTTGCTGCTGCAGCGCTTCTGCCTTGGCCGCCTTCTTCTCGGGCCTTCGCCTATTGCTTTCCCTGCCGCAGCTGCTGCCTTGGTGTCCTCAGCTGCCTTGGCCTCTGCAGCTGCTTTGGCTTCTGCTTTAATCCCAGCGTTTGTACTAGCAGATGCCCATCTTGGCCATCCTTGCCTTGACCTTTACTGTCTTTCCCTTTCACTGCTGCGCCCATGACTCGCTCATGCCGGAAGGTACCTTCTGACCCTTTCAAACAGCCTCTAGCCGCATTAAAGCAAGAACACAATTGTCTCTGTCCCTTGCCGCCAGTGTCCGCTTGGCTTGCAGTGGGAATGACATATTCATCAGCGTCTTGCCTCTGTGATGATCGTGGCTTGGATGCGTCCTCAGCCTGCAGCTTCGTGGCTTCTGCTTCTAGGACCTTCATGTAGACCTCGACCCGTTCTGGAGTTGGAATTTGAATATGCGCTCGCAACCCCGCATAAGGCACAGACGAACACTTGAGGGCATCTTCTCTAGTCGTTTCACCATTGGGATCGACAGAGTCGCAGCTCGTTGTTGAGCCAACTTGTACCGCCTTAGAGTTGCTGTCAGCTCCTCACCTGTCTCAGGACCTCAAGTATTGCAGCAATGAATTCTTGTCCCGAACCCCCAGGGGTCATGTGTGGAGATTTCATCTTCTGCATTCCACCGTTCCGGTGCGTGCGTTTTCATCTCGGCAGGATCTTGAGACGTACCGACGACAACCTGGTTTCAAACTTTTTCTCGCCAGGTTTACTCACTTGCAGTGGATCATCAAAACCTTGCTCCATTCTCTTCTCAAACCTCTGCTGACCCTCTGTCAGGCGTGCAGGAAAGAAATCAGCAAAGTCTGGACGGATTGCCTCGGCAACCGCCGCTACTTCAGTCGTCCGCTGTCGGAATGCAACCCCTCGCTCCTAGGCTGGGCGTGTCTTTAAGGAGCTTCCATGCAGACTGTGCCGAGGCGATGATGCTAATCCAGATCTAGTTGTCGATGTTGTCGGTTTGCTATCGGTCTTAGCAATCAAGTCACCCTGGGGTCATACCACTCTGCATCCCATCCGACTCCCATGTTGCTTCAGGCTGTGGGGTCATCATGAACACCTCAGTTTCTCGTTTCGCCTCCGATTCTCGGAGTCTTCGGTTCCTCGTCCTGAGAGGCTTCTTAGCAGCTGCATTCGCTGTCTGCAGTAGTTGCCGCGATGAACCTCTTTCAAGATGCATTGCAAGTTGTTGAAACTTCTTTGAAAGATCCGCATCAGCCTTTCGAGACTTCTCACAAATCTTCTCTGTTCCAACAACCTGCTCAAGAATATGTTTGCGGCGCACATCCAACTCACTCTCGGCCCGGATGCGCGGCGCGATCTCTTCACTTCTCAATTGCGTGATCTCCTGTTCCTCTTTGACAATGCAGCCTGCATTGAAGCTACTTCATCCCTCAACGCGTCTGCTGAATTCATCCTAGACAACAACGATTTGATCTGTTCGTCTAGGGCTTCCAACCGACCCATCGTTGACTGCAAGGTCACCTGTCGTCTGGAAATTTGGGTAATTGTGTTCTCAATCTGCCCGACCGGGCCCACAAGCTCCTTGAATCTGCCATTAGCAGTGTTCTAAGCAACATCTCTGTTTGCTGCATCCAAATCCCCTGTTCTGCCAGCTAGGCAGCTAGGCACGATGCCAGACGCTCAGTTCTCGCTTCAAGTTCCTGCACATTAGAATACAACCTCTGGAATTCTGAACATCCTTCATGGATTTAGCGTGGGCCACCAATGTAGCCTGTGATTGAAGCAGTCGCAAAACCTCCGAAGGTGCTTGTATCTGCAGCATCTGTTACATCCTGAGGTGGACCACATCCTCTGAAGCTGAGCCTTAGGTCTGCTGCTGAAGTTGTGGATGGTGAAGTGAAGATGATGCTTACATAAGTGATTGGGTAACATTTGGGGAACGTGAGACCCGGTATCAGTGACAGCAGAGAACGCTGGATTACTCTGGGGAGCATTTCGGGCTCTTATCTGCCAAGGAACATCGTCTAACGAGTTATAAGGGCTACTCATGATTCCACATCAAGCCGCCGAAGCAACCCGAGCATCAGAGACCCTCCCCCACAAGACCTGACCTCGACGGACCTCGAGAGAGCCTGCCAAATCCTCAAAAGCCTTTCCGAAGTGGGAAGACGAGACCAGTCGCACTCGTCGCGCTCAAAGCCTCTGTGCAGGTTGTGCTTGAGCCATGTACCTGGCCTGTCATCCTTGCACGTTCCATGCGTCGATGAACCCTGGTGCACTTTTGATTTGTGTGTGGGTCCTTGGCAGTCCCGGTACACTTCTCGATATGTATGGATCGGCGGTGCAAACATAGGAAGCACTTTCGACGTTGGAGCAGTTGTACCATAGGATTCGATCTTCGTTTCGGGAGGTTGTGAGCGCAATCCTGGATAAGATCGGGAAGCAGAAAAGTGGAGGCAGAGAAAAAGAGAAGCGAAGTGAAGCACAGAGCCGTCGAACTTTGGCCGAAATTCTGTGCGAATTTGGCAGGTACTTTGGCGGTGAAGAGCCAGCATGTCAAAAGCTACTTGTGGATTTTCGTGAATTGCTTGGTGGGAACGGCCTGATTGTGTAGCCGTTTTAAATTCGCACTGGTGCTGACTGATTCTTGAAGGATTTGAAGAGGGATCAGCATGGGCTTCTTGTCTATTCTGCCGGGTGAACCTGTCTGCCGCAGTCCGATGTCCGAGGGTTTGGGGTATGTTCAGACCTGAAAAGAGCCGTATGTTCAGACCTGAAAAGAGCCGAAGCGATCCGCAAACCTCTTACAGGGTGAGTTGCATTGCCAGATCGAGAACCCAGCATTCGATTCTCAGACGAAGGACAGGCCCTGGGCACAGAGGGTACGCAGGGCACGCAGGGCACACAGGGCATGCAGGGCATGCATAATCATGCACACGCACATGAGAGGAGACGCTGACGAGCAAACGAGAGAGGCTTGCCCCATGGCTGAAGGTGCCGACCCAACCCGTGAAGAGACTTTTGCCTTCAGGTTTGGGTCCACCTGCCGCTTGCCAGAGGCAAAGCAGAAGGGTGGCGGCAAGCGCCCCCTATCATTGTCTCGCTTTGGGCGCTTTGAGGATCTCTTGGAGGATGTGGTGAGCTCCGGCATCATCGAAGCGCTCCAGGAGCGATGCTCCGCGATGACCGAGCCGCCGTGTTGGGCCTTCGCAATCTGCTTTGCGCTCTTGCTGACATGTCTATGGAGTCTACGGCTCCAAGAGAAAGATATCGCGAAGTGCTACAGTTTGTAGCCGTGACATTGGTGCTTATCATCGTGTGGGGTTAACCTCTGGGATAAGATCACATATTCAGTAACACAGTACTTGTTCAAGAGGCCGATCCGCCACACATTCCGGTTCGTCCCGGCCGGCCATGATGGACTTATGCCGGCCACGTTGTCCGTCGGTCTCCTCAGCGGGGAGACAGTGGCACTGGAGGTGTGCTGAGCAACTTCGCTAGTCAAGGCCAGCCAGGTTTAGACTCATTTTGGCAGGTCAGCCCCACGCGCGTCTCCGTCGGCGACGTGCGCGAGCTTGCAGAGGAAGGGAGCAAGAACTGCAATCATGCGTCGTTCATCGAAGTCAGAGATTTGCTTGCGAGGACCGGCTGCACAGAAGTCTTTCCGTGCTTGTTTCTTCCTCAGGCCTGACAGCAGAAGTGACAGGAGGCTCTGAGAGAGAGGCAGCGTGTTGCAGGTCGAATTCTTTCCAGCCGACACATCGGACCAGCGTAGTCATGAGGGCCTCCTTGAAACGCGCACAGGCGAGCCGCTGAACGACTCGGAGCGGGTTAGCGAGCTTGGCCTCAAACATGGAGATGTGGTCAGTGCGCTCGTGAGGCATCAGAAGCAGTGGTGAGAACTCTGCAAAGAAGATGTAAGAAGCAGGAGCAACACGAGCAGCGGAAATCAGCAACTTCATGTTGCAGGCCGCCATATCCTCAAATTTTCTCGGGGCCCTTTGCCTACGCCTTCGCGGCTGTCATGCCGGAAGGCCTACGCAGGGAAGCAACTTCAGATCACATTGGGCACGAACTGCGAGCTGTTCAGAGGTCACGTGGTTGCGTGGGGAGACCCCGCACGGGGGGGAGACAACAGAGCGGTGCGAGAACAGCTGCAGGCCATGGAGTCGGCGCGTCAGTGAAAGACGTTTCATGGCACTTTTTGGTGAAGCCCTGGTGATGTTGCTTCGATCGGAAGTCTCTGCTGGAGGAGGTTCCTATCATCGCCTTGGAAGCTTCTGCAGGCGCCTTTGCGGCTTTGCGCAAAGATGGCGTGATCCCCAGACGTTTTTCCACGAGCTGTAGAGCAAACTGACACCTTCCTCCTCAGGGCAAGTTGTCACCTGGGGCGGGGCTGCCTTCGGTGGTGACAGCAGCGCTGTGTTGCGTGATGCAAAAACGTTATCGGTGGTTCATCCATAACATGTCTTCCACTGCAGAGCGCCCCCGTATCCGAGGCAAGATCGGTTGGTGAGCGTTCAGGCGGTGAAGGCATCTGCCATTGGCTTCTCTGCCGTCACTGCTGCAGGTGATGTAGCCGCGCGACTGCAGTGAAGCCCAGCACGGGGTCTGCATACTCAGAGTATCCCAGCGTGAGGTCACCTGGGGAAGCAGCGACACTGTCGTGGCCATGCACATGAGTGTGGAGGTCAAGCAGCTCGTCGCCTCGACGGCTCGCATGGGATGGGCTTGCCAGAGTTCACAATAAGATAGACTGGCGGATGGTGCCGCTTTGCATGCGGCAGAGTGCTGTGGTGAAGAGGATGGTCTTCGGCTGCTGCTTTTTTGCACGATCCCGAAGATGTCGGCCCGGTTGCTCTTCCGTTCGGCCAAACATCCAATTCGATGATGCCCGACTCACTTTCGGGGTCTTGTCAACTTGAGAGTGCTCGGAAAAGGACTGTTAGATGTTCCTTGTGTTTCGCGTCGACAGCTTATCGCTGGCAGTACCTTGCGGTCGTGGAACGGGCCGGCCCGCAGGAGGCAGATCAAGGAGGAAGCAGCGTTCACGGTTGAAGTAGCAGTAACAGCTCAGATACGCCGGAGTTAGGTCGAGACGTCCCGTTGGTCGAAACACTTTCGTGCAAACCAGGGTGTTCTGCAGCCCCAGCATGAGCAGTTTCGCGAAGGTTCGAGTGTAGAGTCTGCACGTGTTTGCAGGCTGCATTGAGTCGCGAGTCGCGAGCCGTTCGCAGACTGTGAGCTGCACTCGGGATGGGCATCGTGGTCGAAAATCGTGGAACGATTGTCGGGAGGTATATGATCGGTATTTCGAGGGCTCGTAGGCTGTTTGTTCCGAGAGCATCGCAACGGCAAGATACGGCAAGTCGACCGCAGCTGATCGACTGAAGCACATCCGTTCCATTACCGACGGTGTGCTAGGATTTCTTTTTGGGCTGTCACGGCTTGATGATCTGAATGCCAAGATATTGCAACTCGGCCCGTTCCCCGCCCCGTCGCCGGTACTGATGTGGACTGTCCGCTCCTCCTGGCTGGGGTGTCGGTCTTCCGTCCGGGTGCGTGTTCGCCCGACCCCGCAGTGCCTCCGCTCCGAGGTCTGCCTGGTTGTCCTTTCTTTTTCCGCCTATCTCTACTTTCTGTGGCAGGCCTCCCTCCGGCGGCTTCCGCTCCATTGCTTGGGGCCTTGACCATGCTGTTCGTAGTTTTCCAAATGGTTTAGGCTTGGGTTGGGATGCTGTGGCTTCCTGTCTATGCAGCAAGGGGGGAGGATCTGCTCACAGCCACGCACTATGCCGTGTCACTGTCGCAGTCGACAACACAACGCACAACGGCTCTGCAAGTGGCTGCTGGACGCGCGGATGCCTCGCATCCTATGTTTCCCTTTGCCGGTCTCTTTAGCAACGCATCTCCACTAATGTCAGGCATGTTCCGGACATAGCAGGGTGGTGGTCGATGCGATTGCCGATGGCCTGGCCGGATGCCGTGGCCGACCGGACCGTCCTCGAATACCTCTGCCTTCGCCCGGCCGCCTCCGGTCCGGGCCCCGCGAATCTGGACTGGTATTCGTCGGAAATGATTTTGGCGGGCAGCGATGATGTGCACTGGTCAGCCGACCTGCCCGCCTTTTGACAATCAACATGTTGACGATCACCAAGTCGGCTTTACCCCCCCCGACCGGTGACTTACCACCCGAGCCCCACCAGACCCGCCCCGACCGGTGACTTACCGCCCGTGCACCAACAGACGCGGTCTCCGCTCCGGCCCGCGCATGCCCGACAACGGGGCCGATGCAGCAGTGTCGCAAGCAGGCTCGGTATTGACAGCCGTTTGGTTCGTGGACAAAAAGTCTGGTACGGCCCGCGTCAGCGTGTCAATAAGTTCGACGCTGTTCAGCCCACCTCGGTCCTTTGCATTTTTCTGTCCGCAGCTGGTATCTCTGCTTACGCGTGCGTCACGAGGCCATCCAGCACACAGGCTTTTGATGACCCTGCTGCGTTTGTTGCGTTGCTTAACTCAGAACCTCGTCTGCCTCAGAGAGAAGCTCACGGCAAAAGGATTCCGTTCCCTGGCGTCGACAAGTGCAAACTGGCCGGCTGCCGCGCTGATGCGAAACACCCAAGCCCGACGAAGATCGTGACAACAAAACTGGCCAGAGGGACGAAAGTCCAGCTCTTAAGGAAATTGGCTCCGTGCAGGCAGCGATCTCCACTCCACGGCACGAGGAGGGCATGGTGCCTCAAGCACAGGAGACTAGAGGCCTGGTTTTCAAGCCCACTCGCAACGACCAGAGACACTAGTTCAACAGTTCTCGCGTGAGAGGATAGGAGGGGCGTACCACGCTCGAGGCACACAAGCGGCGCAGAGAGCTCTCCGAGTCTGGTAGGTCAAAATGTTCCCAAAAAGAGCATCAATCGGAGCTTGTTGCAGAGTGTCTCAAGCTCTGGCCGCGCGGTGCCCCTGTGCGATAAGAAGAAGAGAAAGACCGTGTCGTCGAGGGGAACGAGATCGCGGGCGCGGAGCGCTGGCGGCCCTACCGGGGCTGCGCGGGCCAGGAACAGGTGGGGCAGAATTCTCAGGACAGGCTTCGCAGGCAGACAGGTCCGACCGCGTCCTCAGGAACGGTGACGAAGGTAGGAATCGGTGGGCCGTCGGTGGGCTTGCCAATGCTTCGCGGCAGTGTGCTTTTGGCCGGGCTTCCGTGCTTTACTATCCTCGGGTTCCATTTCCCGCCACTGTCCGATTCCGACTTGGACCCCTCCCTGCTGGACTTGTCACGTTTTTTGCGCTTGTCTCCGGAGGACTTCTTTCTCGCTGCTGCTGTCGGTTCCACCCGGGACAACATTTTGTATTGTTTCTCCTGGAAGCGCTTCTCATGCGTAGTTCCGATCCGAGGGCTCGATCACAAAGCCCAGTGCCCGATGGCGTCCTGGATCATCGCCTCGTGCTCACCTGGCCGCAGCACAAACTCCACTTCCTCAGACAACATCAGTTCCCAGGTCGGTCCCGGGTCCAATGACATAATGAGGCTGCACTCTTGTCTCGCATGCGGCCCTGTTCACAGCCTTGAACTTGGAGTAAATGTTGTGGAGGTGGTCACGGATCCCAGCCTCCTCGAGTTGAGTGGGATTCCGTCGCGTTTGGCCAATTGCGACAGTTTGCCCTTGCCCGCAAACACCTCAAGCCAGATCCATTGCTCCTTGTCAGCGACGGCCTGGGGGAGGATGTGGATCGTCTCCAAACCCGCAGCAACCCCCGCTGGACATGACACACTTCCCCACTCACATCAGCTTCCACACATTGGGGCTCTGAGGCGCTGCCTCATCGATCACGAAGTGCCCGAACAGAAACGCCACCTCGCGAGAACTGCCAGCCAGCCACCTGGGGTTCCGCTTCCATTTCTTTCCTCTCTCTCTCTCTCTACGCCACTTTCTCTCGGAGTTGCCACAGCAGCTTCTTCCACCAGAACGTCATCACATACGGCTGTGCACCGAGCGTGCCGCATTCAGTGCCACCTCGTTGGCCCACACATGCCTCAAAGACGGGTATTCGGCCTGCTCCCCTGTCAGAGCTCGTTGTCCTGAGCCTTTCTCTTGGCCGCTGCTGCCTTCGCCCGCCTCTTGTTGAGGAGCTTGATCTCGTCCTGTGTCAGGTCCGCGGCTGCAGCGTCCGTGATCATGTTGGGTGCCACCGTAGTCGCCGGCTTTGGTGCCACCATCCTCGGCTCGGTCGCGGAGCTCGCCCGTCCACGATCCTCATGTTCCAATTTCATGGTGCGGGAGACTCGATCGAAGCTGCTGTCCGAGATGTCCTGGATCGTCGGGCACTCCTTGGTCCGGTGAGGGCCGTTGCACAGCTTGCATTTCCGCTGCTTGTCGCTGGGATTCGTGGCTGCCATGTGTTTCTCGAGGGCAGTCAGGGCTCTCATTGTCGGGTCGCTCGAGCTGCAAAACTGAGGAACTCACGGGTGCAGCGTCCATACCGAATGTCAGCTGGTAGTCTTCAGGCAACGCAGCACAATTCGCATCACACTCATCCACCGTTGTCGTGTAGTGACTGCTGTCCACGTTCAAACCATACCCCAGCTTCCTAGAGATCACCGAATGATGCTCACAATCAATCATTGCGCCGACTTGCGTGCACCCTGCTCTCGAGAAAAGAGGGGGATCGACAAGCACGGTCCACAATGCTGAAGCCATACACGAGAGGCTGTCCCCCGAAACTGCCCAAGAAGCTAATACGATATCGGCTCCTCAACACCTCACCGTCACCAAACTTGAAGACCTCACTCTCGGGATTTACACGAAACCATCGGCCTTCTCCCTGCCATTTTCCAACAAGCGCCGTGACCCAATGGAGCCCTGCCGCTGAGGGCATGCAACCGATGTCAAGAATCACCTTGAACACCAACTCCTTCAATGACCAAAGCACTTCGTGCAAAGCAGCACTCACCGTAGCCATAACTTGGTGCCCCGTGTATTGCCCAGCATTCGAGCCCACTCGCGAGGAAGTGTCCGGTTACCCCTTTGAGGCACCACACAACGAAAAGGCCGTCGCTCATATGACCGGCGTCTGCGGGAGTTTCTCCACAGGTCTTGATGGCGAGATCGGCCTGCGGCTTGCGGTGTTGAGAGGGCACTCTCGAAACCAATGTCAAGGATTCGTCTTCATCTTTTCTTGCAAAAGCTTTCGCCGTTCCTCATTCTGCTCCGGCTTCCGGTAGTACTGGCGAAGCCTACGGACCTCGGCAATCTTCAAGCCGACTGAGAGGACGATGCTCCCATCTCTGCAGCAACCACTCCTCGCCATTCCTTCCAAGTTAGGCTCGACCACTCCAGCGGGGTAACCTGTTCCCGTCCAATTCAATCTAGCATGGCCGCCGTCACGAGGGCCTCGTCGTTCACGTTCCCGGCTTTGGTCTTGATCATGGCCTTGTCTCGTCGAGTCAGCCTTGCATGGTCAGTGTGGTGCCCGACGAAGAAGGCCTCCCCATCGCCAGGCTTGGGTCCAGGCCAAGCAAATGCGACCGACACCAGGTAGGGTGATATAGGACTCCATCGACTCCCCGGCTGCTTTGCTCAGTGTAATGCTCATCAATCCTGTGCCGGCCACCTGCCTAGTCAAGGGCGACTTCTCCAAGACGTCGAAGATCTTCTGCATGCCGCTTTTGCGATTGACATCCTCAAGCCACAAACGCTTGACCAGCCGCGCAGCCCTATCCTTCAACTGAACCATCATGCGGGGCCAGATCAACTCCGGCGGGAGTTGCCCGCCTTCGCTCCCTATCCAGAACATCACCCCACGCTTCCACTCAGCATAGCTCTCTTGGAGCTTCGCCCTGAAGACAGGGGGATAGGTACTGCTCACCTTTCCCACATGTCGCTTCTCACACTCCGGCGGCAACTCGCCAGCGATCTTCACCTTGCCCTTTGGGTCGTCCGTGGCCGGCTCGTTGTACCAGCTGTCCAGCTCGTCCTCGACGAAGCCCACCTCGAAAAAAAAGAACCTGAGATGAGGTTCCACGACCAGTTCTCGTGGGATTGGCTCCACGAGCTGTCGCTCCAGCCAGTCTGGCCCGTTTTCCAGCTCCAGTTCTCTCCCACCGCCTCATCCGTGATTCCTCCGCTGGGCAGCTTCACTTCAGAGTCTGCGTCTGCAGCTCCACGGTCGCTGCGGCCATTCCCCAAACCTTGCCACTTCCCGTCTTAGGACCACCCTTCCTAAAGACCTCGACGCGATCCACCATGTTCAAAAAACTCTTCCTGGGCACTCTCCCCGCTCGGATCGCTCGAAGACCATCCACCGGTGTCCGGCATTCCGGGTTGGCCCGCCCGCGGGCGTGCTGAGGCGGGGTAGTAAAAGCAAAGGACTCCTCGCAGTCCGGGTCGAAATCAAACTCCTGGATCGCACCCACGACCTCCTCGTCGGATCGGCCATCTCGGATCCGGAAGCACGCCGCGCTCCTTCACACACAAAGATCTGCCGAACAACAGCACCCAAAGCACGGAGCCACGACGGACTCGCAAAAGGCTTTCGACGAAGCCGATCACAATCTCCGTCCCCTGGCCCCGCTGCCAGGGGCTCAATCACAGCAGACACGCATCGGGCCTCTTACCTTTTGGCGCTACTTGCGGATCCGCTCACGACTGCCGCGCAACAGCTGAGTTCATGAAATGCCGACTGCAGGCACTGAAAACATGCGTGATTTCACAGTAGGCCGTTTGTTCCGAGAGCATCGCAACGGCAAGTCGACCGCAGCCGTTCGACTTAAGCACATCCGTTCCGTTATCGACGGGATGTTAGGATTTCTTTCCCACCTCCGTCCCCTTTCTCCTACTTTCATCCGGAGTGGATTTTTGACTTTTCCGGTGCCTGTCCTTTCTGTAGGTTGGCTGTGCAACCAGAATTTTTCTAGTTTCCCGGTTCTCGGTGCAGCTCGACTTCTTGGATTGGTCCGGTCCGATCTCCGACCGGTCCATACCAGCCCCGGAGCTGCGGCTTTATAGCCGTCGGAAAAGGGAAGGAGCATCCGCTGCTTCTACCTTTCCGTTAGGTAACGACGGACTAGTGCTTAACCGTGACAGCTGTGGTCCAGAACGAGTAGCTGCAGGCCAGGAGTTTTTTTGGCAGAGCCTGTCTTCACAGGCAAGAGTTTACAGAGCCTGTCTTCACAGGCTAGAGTTTTGTGTGGAAGGGTTGTATACTTGCACTCACGTAGAGCGGCAGGATGCGTTCGCTGCGCTTACGGTTGATGGACGAGCTTTTGCTTGGGGGAACGCCGACTACGGTGGCAGCTGCGGCGTCTCGTTGCAAGCTTCGGTTAAGAAGTGTTCAATCGATACACGCAACAGAAGCTTGGCGAGGTGCTGTGTCTGATCTTCTGGTGGACATCGCTTTCTTGGCTGCCTCTGATGGGGCTTTCGCTGCGGTCAAGCAGGACGGTGAGGCACGCGAGCCGTTAGGAATCCTTTCGGAAGGCCCCCCGCCTCGCAGCGGGATCCGCACGAGTAATGCACCGGCTTAGGTTTTTTTTTGACAGCATGACATCACTCCTGGTCCATCCTCCAAAAATGCAGCAGTCTACAGCAATGTTTTGCCTGTGCGATTTGCCGAACCATGTTGCAGCGGGGATCGCTGTCTACAGTGTCCGTGGCAATGACCGAAGGTTTTGTTGCGACCCTTGCACGTGTCGTGCTTGCGTTGACACATTGAAGTAATGCGCTCATCTACAAACATGTGCTTCAGAGTTAACTCACGCCAGGTCGTTACGTGGGGCAACAGCAATTTCGGCGGCGATGCTCAACTGCAACAGCCGAGTCAACATTCCCATGTATCTGCTCGGTGGGCTCCGAAACAAGGACTCCACGATTCAGAACCCCGACCTGCATGGGATCGTTTCCATCACTGCTTGTGGACGAGCATTTGCTGCCGTGCGGCGTGTTCTAGCTCGATTGGTGTGTGGAAATTCCATTCCTCTCCCTTGATGGTTTGGTTTTCCGCCTTCAGAAGTGCATCTGTATCTTGCAGTGAGGCGATGGCCATGTCTTCACATGGGGCGATTCGACTCAGGGCGGTGACAGCTCCGTACCTGACCCAACGCAAGGAAAGCAAGTTACTCTTTTGGCATCTATGTCATTTAGGTGCTAGCAGCTTCTCAAGTCTCTCTGCTGCGCGGATCGGCGGGTGCTTTTGCGGCCCTCACGATGGAAGGCAAAGAGGAACCTGGCGAGCTGCGAGCAAGCTTTTTTACATCCGGCAAGGCCGCGTGCTGACCTGGGGCAACCATGCGTTCGGCGGCGACTGCAGCGCAGTTGGTGATCAATTGACGGAGGCCTGGGCTCGCATTTTGTTCAGCTAGCCCGGCATGTTCTCGGCAAATCCGAGGTGGTGGACATCGTGGCCAGCCGCCGAGCTTTCGCCGCGTTGCGCAGAGATGGAGGCAACAGCAACTCTGGGGGCCGATGACTTGCATCTTCCGAGTGGACAGGAGTGGTCAGTTGGGGCTTTGCAGTCCTTGGAGGGAACAGCAAGGACGTTCAGGCCAGGGGAATAAGTGGAAGCTGCCGTTTGTTAAACTACTGTACATGGGAGCACATGGACATGTGGCTTTGCGCGGCTTCCGGTGCAACAAGACAAGAGAGTTGGTATTGGCTTTTTGCCCTTAGGCTGAACTTTACGGCATCCAAAGTCTCCACGCTTCAAGCGGTGCTTTCGCGGCATTGCGAGGACGCCGTTTTGTTGTTTTTGCCTGGATGTGCTGATTGCCCTTGATCAGATCTCCGTCCTCTCGTGCAGGTGACGGTGGCGTCATCGTATGGGGTGGGCCAAGCTCTGGTGGTGACAACAGTGCTATACGAGGAGCCAGTTACACCCTTAGCGTGTTTTGGGCCTTGGACGTCCAGTAGCATAACATGCTGAAAGTGCCCCCACTTCATGCAGACAGAAGTGGGTGCCAGATGGGAAGCAGGCCATCTAGCAAACAGCTGCATATCTGTGACGTGTGTCTCTTGAATGGGTGTCTCAGTGAAGCAACTTAGTTATCTCAGTTTACTAAGCCAGCTTGCGGAGTGAGGCAGGAAGCTTGCCTTCGCCAACGGTTCATGTTTGGCTGGTGCCGGGGGTTGCTTCGCCAACGTCGTAATAGCATGTAACAATGTAATACTGTAGCAAGCAGGACTGTTCCAGGAGACCGACGTGGACGACAAAGTCAGTGAAGTAGACTCTCCCACCATTGCAATTAGGGAGGTGGCTTAATTTCCGGTCGACCTTTGCCAGCATTGTATCGCGCCACGTGTGAGTGTGTTTCTGGGTGTAGCGGTTTCATGTAGCCTTGGAAGATTGTACCTGCTGCACAAGTCAGCACTGGCAGTTTGCTCAGCCAAGCTGAGCATCGTGGCAAATGTCACGGTCGACTGCCAACTTGGCTCTAACTTGACTTCCTGCCAGCAAGAGACCCACGAGAGGCATGTCGCTGATGAAGCAAAGGCTTGCAAAAGTTTTGCTAGTTGTGCTTGTGACAGGAGTGGTCCAAGGCCATGGGGAAAAACGAGTTGGCCCAGCACTTGAACCGAAGCGATCTAGGCTGGATTGAACGATCTTGGATGGGAAGGGTAGCAATGTCATGTCGCACGTTTCACCGACCACTCTCGACATTGCTCTATCCCTCTCCGTCTCTCGTTTCCTCCCTCGATGTCCCTCCCCCTCTGGCCCCTCGCAGGCTTGCAGAAGCGTCTTTTCGGCGTCCCAAAGCTTGAGGATGCCAACCTGGCCGGAACGAAGGAGGCTGTTTGAGCGAGAGCAAGTCAGAGAGCGAGAGTGAGACAGTGAGAGATGTGAGAGAGTGAGAGAGTGAGAGAGTGAGAGAGCGAGTGAAAGAGTGAGTGAGTGAGTTTCACATAGCCATATTTTGGCTCCAGTCATCTGCTATGCCTCTCTTTGCGGGGTGTGCTCGGCAGCGGTCTTCTAGGCCTCTCCAGGCCTGGCGGGTGAATGTCTGCTTGAGCAGAGGTGCTGTTTCGGCTGACAATACACGCCAAGCCCTTCCCTGACCTTGGCCTGCCCCTGAGCGAAACGCTCACGCCGATTTCGGGCTTGCACAAGAAGGCGTAACGCTGCGCGCATGGGGAAGGAGGGACTTCGAGCCCCCGACCCCACATGCCTCGCAAGCCAGCCAGCCAGCCAGCCAGCGACCGAGCGAGCGAGCCAGAGCAAGCAAGCATGCACGCACGCGACAGCAAACCAGCCAGCCAGCAAGCCAGCAAGCCAGCAAGCTAGCGAGCCAGCGAGCCAGCAAGCCAGCCAGCGAGCGAGCGAGC